AATACCAGAACCAACAATTTTTTTCTGATGCTCTCTGTGCTGTTTTTCATGGGACCCTCCCCCCAGGAGCTATGCAGTCTTCTTCAATACTGACCCATTAAAGGGCAAGGTTATAGAAACAAGAGGCAAAGAGGAATGCATTCCTTTCACTGAAAGTGGGAGGTAGGTGATTTTGAAAGGCAATTGATTTTAAAGAATCCTTAGGAATCTGGCAGTCCGAAAATTTATTCCCTCCACCCCCTCACCAGGCTTTTGGAAAGACTGTGTGCCCAGGGGGTCCCAGCCCATGTTGAAGACCACAGCCGCCTCAGTTGGCCTCGCTGCACCCAGGCAGGTGACATCATTGGTCCTCGGGGCTTGCACCCCTGTGACCACTCGTTGCAGCTGGATCAAAAATAGGACTTTGTGAATAGCGTCCCTCCCTCTGTTTTGTAAACTGAAATTCCTCGAAAGCAAAAATCTTGTGGGTTTTGTCTGTACATCTTAAACGTTTGTCCCTTTCTTAGATCATCTTTGAAAATCAGCGTGGGTTTCAGGAGCAGGGCAGTCTCCGTAATTAAATACAGTTTCTTCTTATTCATGACCCTCAGCACCTAGACGCCGTTGTCATGCCGACCTGAGTGCGTTCACCGATGCTGGCTCTGGCAGAGTCAAGCGCCTGGCTGCTCACAAAAGGTCTGATCCGTGTCCGGGGTTTGAGGACAAGACAGCAGGGAGTTCCGGGGCGGGAGGCGGGAGCCCCACCCCCCAGCTCTCCTTTCTCCCGCTCTTACCTTCCTCACTACTGCACACCCCCGTCGGTGGAGGTGGGGTCACTGTCCCAGGCTCTCCTCTCCCTCCTAAGGCTGGGGTAGGGAGGGGAGAAACCCAGGTGCAGTAGGACTTTCCCATTCCTGCGCAGGGCAGGTCTGTGTCCACCCAGGCAGGCTCCACCTGTCCATGGTGGTGGGGCTGGCTGCCCCTCCACTTCAGATTAGTTTCGTTTTTGAAATAATCCTCGCAGGATTTACATTTGCTTTTTCTCTTGAAAGTGTTCTGCCTTCCTCAAACCCTCTGATGTTTAAACTTTTCATGGTGAAAGGGAGAATACCCTGTACTTTAGATCCTACGCTCTCTGCCCGGCCAGCCGAGCTGAGCGCCGGGAATGTGGAGAGCCGAGAGCCTGCCTGGAAGTGGGGGCGTGCCCACGTCGGGAGGGCGGAGAACCCCGGCCCTTGGGTCTGTTGCAAGGTGAAAGGGCAAACTCGCTCAGACGGTTTAGGAGCCAGTCGGGCTGACGGCTGAGGGTTAGCATCACGTGACCCTGCTTCCATCAGTGGATCTGACCAAATAATTCCAAGAACCCCACCTGCAAGGCCAGCAGCCTCCCGCGGTGGGGAGTGCAGGTCCCGGCAGCGCCTGGGTGCCCTCTGCCGGCTCCCAGGCCTGTCTACCTCCCTCCATCCGGCAAGCTCAGTGTCCCCCAACTCGGTGGCGCCCGCTACCCAAGCTCAGCGGAAGGGGGTCCGCGGGCATCTCCCCACACTCACGGCGCGCTTGTGCGCATGCCTTGTCTCTCCCAGCCCTGCCTCCCCCACCCCACGGCTCCGGTACCGACAGCGTCCTCGCCTGAACCCTCCTCTCGAACCTTCTATTCATCAGGATTGGCATAGACGCCTTGTCTCTGAGCTTCCAACCCCTCACCCCCTCACCGGACTGCTGACTGTCCGGTTTGCACTCCTTCGCAGGAAATAGAAAACGATGTCAATGATGATGGGCGTTCGGGGTGGGCTCCGAGGCCGCGGCAGCGCAGGTGAGAGTTCCCCAGTGCGCTCCCCCTTAATCGGCTCCCTCGGAGAGCCCCTTCCCTCGCCCCCTCCACCTTCCCACCTCCTCAAGCAGAAAAGCCGCGGGACCCCGCGGACTGTTCGTGGTGGGTCCTCGGGAACCCAGCAGCCTGTTGGCCCGAAGGGGGATCGGCCGCGCTCCGAGCCGGCCGGCTTCGCTCTGCCATCGTCACCCCCGTAACCACTACCGCCTGCGCCCCTGCGCGCACCCGCCGCGGTGGGCCCCGCAGCCAGCCGCCCCAAAGCCTCTCCGAGCCCCTGGCCGGCTGGGGGGTGCGCGGACCCTGCAACGCGACACTCACCTGTCACCGCGCCGCGGCGAGTGCGCGCCGCCCGCGCCCCTCTGCTTTATGCAGCTCCAGCGCCGCCCCTCGCTGCCAGCCCGCCCCCGGCCTCGGAGAAACGAAACTCCTGGTCGCCAAGGATCCAGGCGTGGAAGGGCCCAGGCTGTGGACCTCGGCAGAATCGAAACCGAACCCTAAGGAATGCCCCCTTCCCGCCCCCACATACATACGCAGGCCTGAGCTCAGCCTCCCCGGGTGCCCTTAGCCTGCGCCGGTGCCAGCAGCATCGAGCTCCCTCGGGCCCCACCCCGCACCAGCTGCATCAGAAACTCGGCGGCTGCGTCCAGTGGCCTGGGTTTTCAGGCCCTTCTGGTGATTCTGCAGCAGTTTGAGAACGGCTGCTCTAATGGCCTGTCGTGGAAGCTGAACTACAGCCTTAACTAGCCCGTCAGTTAATCCCTGGTGTTCCAAAGATGCACTGATAACGGGTGTCTTATATCCCCGCGGGAGGTTCTCTGGGCTCGCACCAGCTGGGATTCAAGAGCCTTCTATGTTGATGGCAGCTCCCCCTCCAGCCCGTCCCCATGGTAGGCCCGCTTCATCTTCTTCCTGTTACTCTTAGAAATAAAAGTCAGTTATTTTACCAGCAAAAATGGATCTATTTGGGAATAGCAGAGAATTGCAATTCAGGACAGGAAAGGTATGGCAAAACCATAAGCACAGTGAATGAAGAAGAGGAACGTTATCTCACGGAGAAGAAGGAAGAAGTTAGCCGGAGTTGTTTTGAAGGAAAGTGCATCAGAGAAAAGCCAGCGGTTTCAGGGTGAACTCAGCTTCTCACTGGCTGAGTTGCAGGGGTAGCCGACTTCTGTGGGAGATGCCCTGTATATGTCTCCGTCTTGGGGTCTGTAACTGTAACTGACGGCTCCTTCTGGTTGAAGATCCTCCTATTGGGGTCTGTGATTGACAGTGCTTCCTATAACTGATGTGGAGCACTTTGTGGCTCCCTTGCTCCTAGCCTCCTGACTCCACTTCAGTGAGGTTTTCCTTTATTTTCACACTCTCTTCCCAATTCTCCTTGTCCTCTTCAAGCCCACCCTGGAATTTGGCTCTGATTTCTGGAAATGGGTAGAAGTGGGGGACTGAAGTCAAGCAGACCCAGCAGCGGCCCACCCCATGGTGGCTCGGTGGGTGAGGAGTTAACATTTCCCTTGGGAAGGGGCTAGCATGCCCCCTCCATTTTCCTGAGCTCAACTCAGTCCCTGACAACAAGCCTCCTCCCCACAAGACTCCTGTAATCAGGAAGGACTGTCCCATCCCAGTCCAAGGCCTGGGGTCAGAGAAAGCCTGTATAGAACTATGGCCACCACCAAGATCAGGGGAGGAGACCCCACCATGCAACCATCTGGCCGGAAGTCCCCCTTGCTCTGCAGAGTCCAGTGCTGAGTTCTGGGCAGCCCCAGCCCGGGTGGCCCTAATTAGCAGGAAACTTTGGCCACTCATTCCTCTGGGCCTTAGTTACTTCTGGTTGGTTACTTCAGGGCTGGGACCAGGAGGTGGGTGAGGGGCATGCACTCATGCACCATAGATGCAAACAAGCCCCCTTTTGATTTGGCACCTCAGGCACTAATCATGCCTCCCCCTCTCCTGGTGGCCTGAGATTCAGGTACTTCCTTGCTTCTAGTTTGCACATGATATGGCAGATCCCTGAGAGGCAGGAGCTTATATGAGTTGTAATTAAGTAATAATACAATCATAGTTCCTGTGCTCTGAGTACTAGTAGGTGCCAGGTGCCAGCACAGGAGAATGGCTCCGTTCATGACAGCTCTGTGGGGGGGGTAAGATTATCACCCCCGTTTTGCACATAAGGACACTGAAGCAGAGAAGTCAGGCACTGCTGGGCCTCCTAACCAGGATAAGGGGGAGCTGAGATTGCTTCCAGCTTTTCTCCCCAAGCTTGTGCTTTCTAGCATCCTCTCCCCATGCTAAACTCACAAAAAGCGCTCCTGTCCTGCGGAAGCTCACAGCCTTTCACCAGAACTGCTGACCATTCCTTCTCTAGAAAGAAACATGGGTTACTCTGTATTCTCCCAAATATGTTTGCGGGACCCCTGGAAGGTTAGCTTGACCCCCTGCCCCCATTTTGTGTCCTCCATCTTGAATAACTATGTCCCCTACATGATCCCCTGCCTCCATTTTGTGTCCTCCATCTTGAATAACCATGTCCCCTACATGACCCCCTGCCTCCATTTTTGTTCTGTGTCCTCCATCTTGAGTAAGAAGTTTCCCGCTCAAGCCACGCCCAGTTTCCAAAAGTATAAAAGCAAAAAAGGGAGCTTCGTTCAGGGTCTCAGACCGAGTCCTGTGTTTTCACGGGCTTCTGGGACCCTAGTTCGAACTAGCAATGAAGACCTCTTTTGCTCTTACATCTCGTGACTGAGGCTGGTGACTGCGGCTCCACACAAGGGACTCAAGGAAATGGGGCACAACACGTTCAAGCTCAGCCGTTGAGATTGTCCTTAGGCTCAGCACCCCACTCAGCACTCCTGAACACGGCCCACATTGCTGCTGGCCTATCCTCTGAGGCTCCCGGACCCATCCCCTGGCCCTGCCGAGTTCCAGCTGTGATGTCCCCTGTCTATGCCACTGCCCCAGGAGCTCCTGCCAGGCCTGGGTCATGCCTCTTCTTGGCCCCCTAACGGCTTAGCTCAGGCTAAGATGCTGCTGCGTCCCAGATGGGTGTGAGGTTCTGGATAGTGAGGGATGCAGCCACCTCCTCACCGGGGCTGCCGCTTCCATGACGGCAGGGCGGTCTTACAAAGCTTGGATCCCTCCAGCGCCTATGCCCTACCAACAGCAGGTGCTCAGTAGGCACGGCCTGAGTTTAACTGGACTGAGGTGCTCAGCCACCTCAGTCCCTGGGTCCTACCCTCCTACTACTTTTTTTCACCTCCATTTTTTTCCTACCTCAATTAAAAGGTATTTGGCAAAAACACAGCATCATAGGGAAGCATGTTAGTGGCCAGTCATACCGCCCCAAGTCCTGCTGCCGGGGCAGTACATGTGCCTGGGCTCTCCCCGGTACTTGTCCGGCACTCTGACCTCCAGCCTGGCCAGGCCCCGGGCTTGCAGGGAGGAGCTGAGCTGGTGGGAATGAAAGCCGTGCCTGGCAAGCCTCCAGGCTCGGCTCCCTACCTCCCCAGCGGGGCATTTGCTCAAACCCCTGGGGGAAGCGGACAGAGGCCTGTTAACCGCTGCAGGGTGCCCCACTGCTGGGGTGCGTTCCTCACTACGCTCACTTCCTGCCGCTCAGGGGTGCTCCTCCTCCTGTCTCTGCCCGCCGGGCCTCCCCCAGGATGCAGCCTCCCTCTGTCCTTCTCCAGGCCCGGTGGAGCTGCTCTCTGTCAGCCTCACGGCCCCCCTCCCCGCCCCGTGGGCCGTGGCCTCATCACACTGTCTTGGGTCCTCTGAACGCCGATTGTGCCACCAGGCTGCCGACCGGGGTTTGCTGTTGTACTTGGATCAGCAGAGTTCCTGGCACAAAGTGTCCCAACAAATGTTCCTGGAATGAATGAGTGAGTGATGGTGAGGCGGAGGCCTGGCTTCGGTGACCTCGGGAGGGCTGCCCTCAGCCGCTCCGCGGCCTTCATGGTTTCCTCCGTGACTCTCCTTTCCCACCTCGTGTTTCCCCGTCAGCTCAGGTTCAGTTTCTGTTTCTTTTCTCCTCCTCCGCTGACAGAAATGAAAGTCAGGAGGCGCAGCCCAGGGTCCCTGGGGGAAGGGACGGTGCGGGGCCTGGGGGGCGGGGCCAGGAGGAAGAGGCGGTGTGGACCTGGGGGGCGGGGCCCGGATGAGGAGGCGGTGCCTGAAGGAATGGGCGTTGCGGGCCTGGGGGACGGTGACGGAGGAGGAGGAGGCGGTGTGGGGAGTGGCTGGGGTTGGGGGGCGGTGCCCGGAGGAGGAGGCGGTGCGAGCCTTGGGGGGCGGTGCCCAGAGGAACAGGCGGTGGGACCTGGGGGCGCGGTGCCCGGAGGAGAGGACTGTGCCTGGACTCGCGTCCCAGAAACCACCCGGGTTAGGCATCACTGCCTGAAACTGGAAAGCGATGGGCAGAGTTGCCCCTGCCCAGCGACCCCTCTTTCAACCAGAGTGGGAGTCCAGAGTCTGGTGTCATTTGCCCCATTCTGGCTCCTGTGCTGGTGACGTAGATGCACTCCTCTCCGCTGGGCCGGAGTCCAGCAGCCCTGGCTTCACTTGGGAGTTCGGTAGAAACGCAGTATCTGGGGCTGCCCTAAGACCCCTGAATCAATCTGCGTTTTAAGAGGATTCCTTGGCAGTTAAAACCTGAGAAGGCTGGCTCCTGCAAAGCTCTCATTTATCAGGTCCTCAAGGGCACAGTCCAGCCTTTGCCTTCCTGTCTGCCTGGCCCAGCAGAGAGTCCTGCACCAAGGAGACAGATGCTGAAAAGCTGGTGGTTCTGAGCTGGTGGCCCTGAGCCTGGGCCTGGTGTACACGCGGCCCAATCTACCCTCACAGAGGAAGGTCTGGCCCTTACAGAGCCATTTTTCTGGGTGAGAGCCAGCCGTCTTTGTTGCATTAGCTCTTTGAAAATTTATTTTTCAGATGGGGAGGCCATTATTTGCCAACCACAGAAGGGTATCATCCCACAGCTGAGCCTTGATCCAGCAGCACAGCTGGCCTGCAGCTTCATGAGAGGCCACGGCCTCCACTCAGGGTCTTGGGACACCTAGTTAGTAGAAATGGTTTAACTGATCTCTCCTAATCTTTAATTTTAGGGGAAAATGGAAGTTCCTATGGCCAGGATCCTCAGCTGTCCCTAACTACCTGATGATGTAAGTGACCTGCTGCTAGGCTACTGCTTCCACACCCCTAAGGCAAGGAGGTATTATTGACTGAGTCACTGTATAATGAGCTCCGCCCAGTGCTCTAGCCAGCGGCAGAGATGGAGGTGGATTGCGGACCTGCAGACTGCGGGGTTTAAAGGTGATCCTAGTGCTTGACTTAGTGCCATGAAAATAAAGCCAGGTATAAACCCTTTCACCCCAAGAATGTTCTGCTGTCATTTCTTGGTCTCACTGAATCCACAATGAACTTGTCCAGGGGCTGAAACCCTCAGACGAGACAGGGAAGTACAGCATAGCTCAAAGAAGAAAATGAAATTAGCCACCATCCTCCAGTCTATGGTGTGTGAAGTTGTGTGGTGTGGGCCATGCTGCTCATGCTGTTTGACAAGGTCCAGGCACGAGAAGGAATCCTGAAAACAGGGAACCTCATAGATGGCCCCTGCTAATTTCCGCACTAATTTTTGCAGTTATGATGTTGGTGAGTGGGCTCATATATGGGAAATCTTATGTTCTTAAGATTTATTCATCTTTAGTAAATAACATAACCCAGAATATTGATCAAAGCAGCAATTCCGGAAACGAAAGTGTCTTATAGGACCAACTGTTCCAGGCATACTGCCATGAAGAAGTGCGGCAGAACAACCCAGGCCTCTCAAAACTAGATGCAGTTTGTTCCTCCTTTTGTAACAATTGAAACATGATTAACCAGGAGTTATGGGAAACTGGACCATAGAAAACCCCCATAGAAAAACCCATTTTCCTAAGAAATTTATATGAAACAGCAAAGTAATAAAGATTAATAGTCCCTACCACCCAGGGTCCCCCTTTAGATATTAGAAGACACCTCTAGTATTCCCCTTGAAAAAAGAAGTTATGAGCAAAATAGGAAGATTTATATTTACAAATATCCCATATGTAAAAGTTTATAATGAATTTATGACAAAATATTATTATATTAATGGTAGGGTAGTAAGAGCAGATTTAGTATCATTATATGAAAGATTAAAGAGGACTGCAAGACCCTGGTGCCTGTAGACACAGGAGGAAAGGTGTAAACATCTGAAATTGTGGAATGAATATTATCAAAGAATAAGGTGTTTTTATTGTATTTATAGGAATGTTGAGGAATGTTAAAACTTATAGGTGATAGGAGTACTATCCCTAGATTTTAGATGTAAGCCTCAACCCACATGTGTAAGATAGAATTTAATTAATAATATAGCATTACACTTAATGATCAAAAGACATATAGCTTGCATTTATATAGCCTGTTTAAACTTCATATAGCCTTTGACACATATCTTAAACTCTATAATTTTACACGCTTAAAGTAAAAATCAGCCCACACACTTAGCCACATGCTGTCTCACGCCATTTTCTGTTTAGCACTTAGCATGTAGCTTACATGAATTACTAATCACAATAGACTAGGGGAAAGTTAAAAATTAAATGTTAAACAGCTACTATTAGAATAAATGATATTTACTTAAGGGTAATAAGCTGAAATTATGTAATCTGACAGATAAAGAACTGTATTATTCATGATTAAAGAAAAATGTTTAACATTATGTAAACCTTAAAAAGATATAAAAATAAAGACCCTTCTGCTTGATGTCAGGAGATGTTACAACCTTAATTGGGTGTTTCGCCTTCTCACTCATCTCTGCACTTGCCGACGCTGTCCTTTCCTTCGTGACCCACACCTGGGCTGGAGCTTGACTCTGGCAGTTCTGTATCTTTTTTTAGGAAATGCTTTTCCTTATTATTTTCTTATGAAATCATATTCTTGAATTTCCTAATTAAATATTGATAATATTTGGGCAGGTGTGGAAACAACTCTTTTCCTTCTTCAAGACTTAACAGACCAATGGAAGCTCACTGCTCAAGGGAAACAGTACAAATTAAAATCCATATCACTCAAGCTCAGTTCTCCTAGGGGGCTGGGCAACACAAGCACAGCCAACAGTGGGAAGCAGGTGGTATGACTGAATTCTCTGAGTGCCCAGCTAAGGGACACCATCCCAAGCAACCAAATTAAAGCCAAAGCATTGGGTAATCACCAGCATTCATTTGTTCACTGAGATATCATTTATTAAGTGGCTGCTGTGTGCTAGGTGCATGCACGACTCTGGAAATACAGAAGAAGTATGGGGTGCTGACTTTCCCCCTCTGGGGTCTCATAATGTAATGGCGGTGGGGGAACACAAATCCATAGAGAATGATGGGGGCAATGGAGCCCAAAGACTGGAGAGCCACATCTTCATGGAGGTCAGAGAAGACCACCCGGTGGAGGTGACAGCCTTGTGTGCGTGTGAACTTGAGATCTGAACCCTGGTGCAGAGTGCAGTACAGCGATGATGGACAGACAGCAGCAGAAATGAGAAGCCACTTCCTGCACCATCTTCCTCATACTGCACACACATGAAGAAAAGCCCCAAAGCACTGTAGTTCCACCACATGTATCCTCCTCTAACTAGAGAATTTACAGAGCGCACGCCGCGCCTGAGACAGCCGGTGGATCTTCTCCTTCAGGAAGTTCCTCTTGGCGGCAGTGCCACTCTGCTCCTGCAGCAGCCAGGAATAGTGTTCTTTTTCCTGTAGTATCTGCATCATGGCTTTCTGCAGGCAGTCACTATTCTCTTGGAGTATAAAATACTGAATTATGAATGGGATCTGGTTGGCAAGACGTTTGCTCGTTTCCTGGAAGAGGGGGTAAGAAGGGTGAGCTGGAGGGGTCTTGGCCCAAGGCCTGTGGTTACAGAGAGAAGCCCTGGGGTTCTTGGATGCATGAATGGTCCCTCTGCTCAGTCTTAGGTGCTGTCCACTCCTGCCTCAGTGGTCAGTATCAAACCACTGGAAGTTTCTATCTGGGTTTCCCAATGATTAGGTATTGCCTCTGGCACTCAGAACCTACCTGATGGCTAGCAGACCCATACGACATTCTGGACACCCCAGCCTTCCCAGGAATCCCTTCCCCCCTCCCTCACTCCCACTCCATCTCCCTAGAAAGACCACCTGGCCCCGAGACCCTGTGGCTCCCTCTGGGAGCAGATCAAGACCTGCTTTAATGCTCACCTCATTCTCTCTTCATCAGCATATCCAGTTCGCCTGAAGCTGGACCCTACATGGGGCAACTCTACTTTATATTCTGATTAAGTACCCTACCCTATCTATCCTATCCTATCCTATCCTACCCTACCCTACCCTACCCTACCCTATCCTATCCTATCTAGACCCTACATGGGGCAACTCTACTTTATATTCTGATTAACTATCCTATCCTATCCTATCCTATCCTATCCTATCCTGTCCTGTCCTGTCCTGTCCTGTCCTATCCTATCCTATCCTATCCTATCCTATCATCGTAGGGCTTCCATGCAGTTTAAAAGCTATCTTCCTTCTGTGTACCCTAATACTTTAGCCCATGGGCAGAGGGTTAGAAACCATGAAATTGACTGGGTTGCAAAATCTAGGAATTTTCATTCCTGTTTTCTGGAGCTGGTGAGTTTGAGGCCCTCCCAGGGCTGACAGCCTTCTGAACATCAAGGAAAGCTAATTATAACCAGGAAAGTTAGTGCTCCTGGTATCTTGCTGTATTTTGATAATAGTAATTTTTCAATTCATGCACAGCATAGAATATAAAGAATTTTGGAGTTGGAATTAATTTTGAGTACATGCTCTGCCACATTAAAAACCTCATTTGGGGCAAATTAATTAAAGGTGTCTTGATTGGGTTTCTGTGAAACTAGAGCTGAGATAATGTATGAGTCACTTATCACAGCAGAAGGGCTCAGTGCAGAGCAGATCCCCCTCCCTTCCTTGCTCAGCGAAGCAGCTCTCCGTCGGGGTACCCACTGTCCATGTGGCAGACCCCGCAGGGCCCTGGCCTGTGCACATACACACTCACCAGGAAATAGGCATCCAGGTGCACCCCGATTTCATTGATGGAGGAAACTGAGGAGGTATTATTTGAAACAGGCGATTTCAAATGATTCTGGGAAGGCTTTCCCACTGGGTTAAACACCTCCTCTCGGACTTTGTTCAGAACCACACTGTAAATCTGGTCCTGACAATAAACCAGCTGCTCCATCCTGAACTGAAGGCGGATCAGATTTTCCGCTGTTTCCGCTTGTTTTGTTTTTATGTCTTCAATCTTGCTCTGGTTGGAAAAAGAAACATGGTACTCCTTTTCTTTTTCTCATCTTGTGGTTTACACAACTTAGGAATGTTGAAACAAAATTAAAAAGAATTTAAGGTCAAAGAATGAGACCGTAAAAGGTGATTTTCAGAAGGAGCCAGTGTCCTCATCAGCCCTGCTCTGTGCTTCCACCCGGGGTGGGCCCTGCCTGCCCCGCTGCCCTTCCCTCCACGCCACCGTCTCCCTGCTTCCTCGGGGTGTGTTTCAGCACCTTGCTATATGCATCTTTCATCTTGCATTCGAGAATGACTCCAGAGCTAATGACAGAGGGGTAACGCTGCACAGCTTCGCTCCCAGAAATCCTGTGACTCCTGCCTCGCCCACATGGTCAGGGCATGCTGGGAACAGAGCGATGACACTGTGGGGAGGAGTCCCCTCCTGGCCTTTGAGTTTCAAACGGACTTCCATGCACTGTAGGCAGACACAATGGCTTGAAGGGGGGAGCCTGTGAGTTTCACAGGGGCTGGATTTTCCTCTTTTTTGGAGGGTATGTGGCAAACCCCTTTGCAGGATGGGGCCTGAGCAGCAACAGCCCATGTGTCACTTCCTAAGAGGAGTAGCACTGGAGTGACAAGACCTTGGCTCTGATGTGGCTCAGGAGGAGTGGGCTACAAATGGCAGAGAGGAGCATGTGGGCTGGTGGCCTGGGGAGCTCTGGGAGCCCCAGCCGGGCAGGCACAGGGTGCTGAGCCAGGAGCCATGCGAGGCTTCTTAGCTACGTCGGATGGCCCAGGAGTTGGCCCATGGTGGATGCTTAGTTTCCCTGGCCCCTGGGCTTGCAGCAGAACATTTCTGCGCCCCGGCAGGGCCGCGTGAGAGCCCAGGGGAAGCCACTCCTGCTGTCAAGAGCACGGAGCTCCAGGCAACTGCCCACTGAGGCCTAGGAAGGATGGTGGACATCTTGGAAACTGCTGGACTGGAGAAATGTCCATCAAGGACCAGGCATCCAGCCCATCCTACAGGCAGGCACCCCAGGACTCAGACACAGCCCCCACGGAAGTTGGAGAGGTCAGGAGGGAGATTTTGTTTTCACCAACTGGCAAGGGTGGCAAAAGGAGAAATTTGCTTGTATTATGGAAAAGCGGCAGCAATTCTTTGCCTTGCTCACCTGTGTGGCATGAGATTCGGACCCACCAGTGCCGGCAGAGGAGGATTTTTATCTAGAGCCCAGGTGGGAGTGGAACATACATTCCTCACTTTCCTCTACTGAGACATGGGTTGAGGGGAGGGTTTCTGGGTTGCTAAGTAGAAGCCTACCCAGCTGTGGCAATATTTTATAAACTTATAATCAAACTTATAAAGATTTTGGGGTATGATGAACAGGCAATACTACCCTTGTGACAGAAACAAGTTCAAAATGCCAACCAGTCACTAGGTACAGTCATATGCTCAGGGCGTCACCACCAAGCCTCTGGCGTGCCATGCTGCAGAAGATCATGCAGAAAAGACACCAAGGTCATGTACTTTGTTTCAATTCTCCCAGGATGTGCAGACCAACTCCCAAGCAGAGGCAACACAGCAGGTGCGCCTGGGGTCACCAACCCAGCAGACCTGTAATTATCACCCTGGCCAATATTTCCAGGCAGCAGTGAATATCCAACTTGTTTCAAAGGTTAGACACCAATAAAACAGGCAGGAGTACTGGGGACTGGCAAGCCAACTATGGGCACTCACCTGGGCTGTGTGATTGAGGTTGGAAAATTCACCAAAATTCTTTTTGGCTGTGTCAGTGAAACTTTGCCAGACAATTTCTAACAAAAGAAAGAACGAAACATCAGTCAAATGCAAGTGGGGATAAAATGGGTTAACGACACAGGGAGGATAAATCAGGATGCATTATCCCATTTGAGGGCTGAGCTCCCAGATCTACAGACCGAGAGAAAAGAAGGGGATGGAACCTGGCCGCAGGAGGACACGAAGTCCACCATCACTACCCGCTCCCAGCAGGTCCTATCAGTTCCTGGCCACCTGACCCTTCTTCACATAGCTTGGTAGAGGCTTACCAATGGTTAGGTAAAGCTAATGTGCACCCTCGCCTCCCACCCAGATGTGCAAAGACCCGCGGGCTGTGTTTGATTGCTCCAGTCTCTCCCTCCAAGGCACTGGGACCTGCGGAAGCTGCTGGGTGGCCATCTGAAGGGCACTCATGAGAGCTGCTCACCAACAGCCTTCTGGAGCACAAGGAGAGCGGGGTCTACCAGCTGTTCGATGTATTGCTGCACGATGGTCTGGAATGTCTTGTAGTTGACAAATCCGAGAAGCTCTTTGCCACGATACTGCTTTTCATATTTTGAAACTTCTTCATGAATAATATTTTTCACTGCAACATAAAACAAACCACCATGGTAAATTTTAATGATGCCACAGATATTTGAAAGATAGGAACTTTTTTTTTAAGTCTTGCTTACCCACTGTACCCTAAGGCAATGTTTCTAAACAGAATGTTTTCCATAATGAAAAGACTAACAATTCATGGTCTGATTTGGAGGAATTCTACCATGGAAGTGAACACACACACACACACACACACACACACACACACACACACACACACCCTACTGGCATCTGGGATGGATGGAGCAGAATGGAAGCTGGAACTCTGCCAGGTGAAGCACAGAGGTTCTTGCCAAATCACTGACTTCTTGCTCTTGGATTAGGGTGAAGAGAAGGGGAAATGGGTAAGTGGAATTATACAGCCCCAAAACAAAGAAGCTAGAAGAAAGTTGGAGGTGGTGGAATTGCCTTAATTGAACTGGTGAGGGCTTGCTCAGCTCTCTGCATGCTTTTATGCACCAGAAGTAGCTTCTGGTCTTGGTGAAAAGAGCACCACTTTTAGGGGGAGCCAGGACTCACCTTTTTGGGTGTTGGCTGTAAGTATGAGTACCCAGTTCTTAAACTCCTCTCTGATTTTGTTATATAAGCGGGTCTCTTTCTCCCTTACAACTTCTTCTCCTTCTGTTAACTTTTCGATGTCCTGATTAAACACCTTAATTTTCTGAAAGGGAGATAAAGCCATCAGTTAGTGCTGTAACCATATTAAAGGGCTGGTACTTGGGACAGCAGTGTGGGGTGGGGAGGGGCTGCATGGAGGGCAGATCACCCATCCAGGTGGGACTGATGAGGGTGCCTGGGCAGCAGGGGGCTCCTGCCACACCATTGGGAGCATGGCACCCCCTCAGGAGGTGCTGGGCCACGAGGAAGGATGCGGCCATCTGGAGAGATCTGGTGCATGTCACGTGGAGTCCCTTGATTGAAGTAATCCTTACCTCGATGAGAAAGAACATTTTCTCGGTGTCGCTGCTGGGGACATTGGCTCCGCACTGGCGCAACTCCTCTGTGGCCTTCTGGTGGCTCTCCTTTATTTGACTGTCTAACAGTGGGAGTGATTTCTGAACAAAGTAATGGCAAACAATGAAATGCTGCAGCTTGATGAAATTAGCTAACATTTCTTGGGTGTATGGACAGAATCCTATTTGAAAGCATTCAGCGGGATCTGGAATTTCTATCATCGTGTGAAGCTGGTTAAGGGAGACACCTGTTAAGGAGCCCATGACCAGCTTTGCAAGGAGTGGGTATGTACTACAGCTTGGACGATCAGGTGTCAAATCTTGCAGTTCCATTACACTCCTGGAGTGGGGAGGAATCGAGGGGGGGGGCCAGTGTTTGCTTTTCTTTTGGTTTGGCCTTGATGCCTGGTATTTAGAGAACAGGTACGTTTGAATAGAATCTAAGCTTTCTTTAGTGAAATGTTCTGTTGGTGGTGATTTGAATGTCATAAACTGATCAGTGGTGCTTCAGGAGAGGCCCTGTCTTAAGTGTTGGTGTCAGGCTGGGAACAGTCGTAACCCATCAACGATGCTGACGACAATAAAGATGAGGAGAGGGAAGGTATGGGGCAGGGACTGAGCATTGTCTTTGGGCGAGGCACCATGCCAGGATCTCTGTGTCTCAGTTAAGCCCCACAGCTGCAGGACTAAGTACATGGCTTTATTGCTTCTTCTTTTTTTTTTTTTTTCCACAAGAGAGGAACCTAAGGCTCAGAGAGACAAATTGCTTGTTATCACCACTGAGCTTGTAAGTGGTAGAGTTCCAATTCAGACCCCATTCACCACTCCCACAGCCCCTGCAGGTGAACACTACAGGTAAAGGCACCTGAGTGACCAGCCACCCCAATTTCTGCTTTGGCGAACAGGTCACTGTAGCCAAAATGGCAGGATGAGTTCCACTGGGATTTTTGGGCAGTTTGTGGATCAGAGTATCAAGGCCACAGGATGATAATGGTAAGTGACACCAAGATCTGGTTCTCACAGGCTCTTTTTTTGAGGAGATAGCTTGTATCTTTGGCAGAAATGTATTAAATTTTTTCCTGATATTTCAAATTATCATTATCATAATATAGTCTTGATATAAAATTTTTTAAATAATTTAAAATAATTGCAAATTTTTAATTCAAATTTTAATGTAAAATATTTAAATGTCGAGAAACATGTTATCAAAACACAATGTCTTTTTGCAAAAAAAGATGTTTTTCTCAATTAGGGATATAACTTTCAGGGCCCTCTGCTGCAAACTAAGGGGCTTCTGCTAGAAGCAGTGCTCCTCAAAATGGGTTCCCTGGGTCACTCGGGAAGTTACAAGGGCAAATTCATGGGCCCCACCTAGACTTACTGGCTCGGGAATCCGAGTTTAAACACACTTTCAGGTGACTCTTGTCTGGAACCTAGGCCCTGAGGTCATCTTTGCTCTGAGGGTAAACTTTCAGTCTTCTTGTGCTGTTCAACATCATGTGTCAAGGTTCAGGCAAGCACTACAAATATTCTGTTTCTCAAGAGGCATTGAGCCACAGTTCTCCTATCTTTAATGATATCATGAGAACCCTATCTGTGGTTGTCCATTTCTGAGAAGCAGTGAAAACTGAACATTTATTTCATACAAGTTGGATGTTCTGAAAAATGGTTTTTATACTATGAAGCTGTGAAATTGAATCAAACAAATCTCATTCAAAATGGATTTGGGAGGACAGAAGGGGGTGTACTTATGCCCCATCAACTCCTTGTCAACTGCCACCCCCAACAGGAAGAAGTGGTACCTTGCTGATTTTTCCAACAGAAGAAACCTACTTTACTACCCCAGTGGTAGGAAGGAAGATTTTCTCCTGGCCCAGGAACAGCCCAGCCAATGAGAAATTGCCACCACTCAGCCAATGAGAAGCCACCAGCCACCCTGAACTCTCACTTTTCTCCAATGGACTTTCACTCAAATCAGCCCCTCTCCGCTTCCTCCTTTTTCTCCATAAGGCTACATTCCTTTCCTTTGTTCTGCAGACTGGCCTATGGTTTTGCCATAGCTTGCATGCTCTGAATTGCAATTCTGTCATTCCCAAATAAACCCATTTTAATGGTAAGAGAACTGGTGTTTTTTTTTTCAAGGTAAAAAGGGGTTCACAACCTGTCAAGAAAAGAAGAATTTGCTAATTCAGTGTTTGTTCCTTTTTATCCTGCTAAACTGGTATATAGTGTTCCTCTTTCCAGTTTTCCTCCCCCAAATGGATTGATTCAACTCTTTGTTTCAGCATTACACAGTTGCTGCTTCTCTGTTTCACAAGCAATTCCATGAGCCTCGGACCATGAGCTGCTTGGTTTTCAGAATAAGTTTGTCTGCCTGCTTCAGTGGGTGTCTTAGTGAACTCATGCCTCAGAGAGTGACTTGGGTAGGCTGTAATTTTTATAACTTGCAACCCAACCCAACTGACTCACATTGATGTGTGAGATGAGCTCCGTGGTAAGTTTCTCTGCCAGTCGGGGCACCGTGGCCTTTCCTTCCTCCAGGAGAATTCTGAAACAAGACAGAGCACACATGAAGCAGGAAGGACAAATATGATATTTTTTCCAGTACTGAGCTTTGTAGGTGGGTAGTGAGCTCAGCTCCCTTGGGTGACACATCCCATCAGAAAAGCCAGGTAGTACATTAAAAAAAACAGTTGCTAATTATAGGGCAAGTTCAAATCAAGGCAAGCATGCTGCTAGGAAGGTTACATTTATTTTTTCTTTTTCCCAATAAACTCATGAGATAAGTCTTTTTGTCCATAGAAGAACCACACTTCCTAAGTGTCTTGTCCAACTAGTATTTTATTTCTTGTAACAAATATTTATCCCCCAGTAGCCAAATCAATCTTGAAAAAGAAGAACAGAACTGGAGGCAGCAGACTTCCTAATTTCAAATATATATTACAAAGCTATGGTAATTAAAAGGGTATGGTGCTAATACAAAGACAGACATGTAGACCTATGAACAGAATAGTAAGCCCAGAAATAAACCCATAAGCCTCTTACACAAGAGGTGAGTCCCAGCATGTGGCCACTCAGGGATTTGAACTTGGATTTCAGCAACAAAGCACTCCAACACACTTTTTCATCTAACACTTAACTTTCCCAGAAAAGACCTTGTGCAGTGGTTTTCAAAGTGTGGTCCCTGGACCAGTAACATAGCCTTAACCAGGAACTTTTTAGAAACATAAATTCTTGGGTCCCACCCAGACCTCAGAAAGTCTGGGACAGATACAGCCAGCTGGATTTTAACATACTCTCCAGGAGATTCTGCAGCTCACTCCAGGTTGAGAACCCTGGGTGTGAATATCATAGAATCTTCTTTCTGCTCAGTGAGCTGAGTTCCCCTCACCTTGTGACTCCCAAGACTACTGGAAATGATCTCTTCCTTCTATTCAGGACAGGAGCAGAGAGGAAGAAGGAACTGGGGTTGTATTTATGGAGTGCTGGCTATTGGTGCCCCAGAACCTTTGCATGTATCATATTATTATTTTTATTTAATCCTAAATACAATCCTATGAAACAGCAGTAAGACTCTCTAAGTAGATGAGAAAGCAAAAGCTCAGAGAGGCTGAGCCATTTCCCAATGGCACACAACAAGCAGCAACCTGGTCTGCCCAAATGCACTGTTTTCCCAGGCATGATCTCTGTATCTTATCACCCTGCTCCCACATTGTTCAGGAATAGCAAGTTCCTAAATAAAATGAAAGGGAAAAGAATCAATTGAAGAAGAAAAATCCCAATGTCTTGCAAATGCACAGTCTCTACAGGATAATTTATATTTAATAAAACCAGTTAGTTTCCAGACTCTAAAGAGGGGGAGAGTTCCATTTTAATATGCACCATTCGTGATGGTTGACAAAGGCTTCTGGAAAAGGAGACTGTTTATTTGACCTTATTATCCTTATCTACAAAAATGGGAAGACTCTCACCTGCCACGTGCATCTCTTAAGATTTTGTGGGACTCAAATGAGAAAGCAAGTGAAAACACTCTGGGAAGCCCAAGAGCTCCATGCCTAGAGAGTCTCACCTGAAATACGGATGTGTCTGGAAGAACGTCATTTCTTTACTGGTTGCCTCGGCCAGGCTCAGCTTGTTGGTGACCTCCTGCTGGCCCCGGCACTTCACTATCATGTAGCCCTTCTTGAGATGGTAGGTGAGGTTCTGCACCACATTCACAATGACTCTCTCAGTGCCCTTGTCCACGAGATCTGGTTTGGTCAGGATTCCTGGGAGGTAAGGAGAAGGGCAATGGAAAGGCTGCTTCTGTCCTCAGGATGTTTGAATGTGGCTAGATGCTGGCATCTTTTTTGTCCAGGACCAGCAAAGTCTTCTGCAGCCTTGACTGCCTGAGCCTGACACCCGTGCATGCATTCCATAGCTGTCCCTCTTACTTGCACTTCATTTGATCACTAACTCACTCAATTCACTAATCACCTTGTAGAATTTGTTAAGCAAATCTTTCTTGGGTGCCTGCTGGGTACCAGACAGTGTGCATCATCAGAGCTGTCAGGCTCCATCCCCATGTTTCTAAGAATCCCTCCATGATAAGGAGGGGGTATCCCTCTCTCTGCTGGGTCCCATCACAGACTCGCTCTGTCCCTTCTTGTGGGGTCTCCTTTGATACCCTCCCGGCCTTTGTCTGTCTCTCCAGGCCCAGGCATGTTCCCATTCACATTTCATTGAAAGCTTTGAATTCCAAGATTCTTTTTTGTTTGTGTTCTTTGAGTGTCGAATTGCCACTCCATTTTTAGTTCGATTATGTTGGAACCCGAATGTCATCTTCTACTATTTTTGTCCTCATCTTCAATTTGTGGTTAATTCTGGCCATCTGTTCACCATTATCTGAAACTCTTGGCACCTAAGCAGTTGAGTTTTTCTCTTTGTGTTTTAACCTTCCTATTCAAAAACTTGTCATTTACGAGCATACCTTTATACTCACTAAAAGGTGAGTGAAAGCACAGACCTTCATGTTACTAACAGAACCAAGACATCCCTGAATCTGCTATTGAACCTTCTGTTGATAAAGGGAGGGGAGACAGCAGCCAAGAAGGCCCTTCCCTGGAGCCAGTAATCATTCACAAAAGCCTAGATCACTGCACCTTATTCTGAGGAACAGAGTAAGATAATGAAAATTGAGGCTTGCAAGTAGAATTCACCTGAGTTGGGGAAAGAGCACTTTCTCATAATGTGCCTTAGCTTGAAACAGAGGACTAGAGTCAGAAAACACACATGCCTCTGCCATCTTCAGCTCAGAAGCATCATATAAAGTCTCAATTATTGTGCCACAGAGAATTTTAGGGTGTCTTGATTTTTTTCTCTCCTTAAATTACTTCATTCCTTAATACATTATGCCTGTGTATGGAATTAACAAATGCTTAGTAAGTATGCTCCTCTAGGTGCTGAGGAGGTGTCAGTGAATAAGACTGTAAAGTCCCTGGCTTCATGAATATCCCACCTTCTACTTGGAAAAGGCAGGTGAATTAACCCAGTAATACATGCAAGAGTAAAGACAGATCTCCAATACTGACAAGTGTCAATATTTAAAGGAATGAGCTGGATGATGACTTCTGGCAGGGGTGGATGGTACAGTTTTATGTTGGGTGGACAAAGAGGGCCTCTGGGAGGCAACTTTTGAGCTTAGATCTGATTGAGAGGAAGGAGCCAGCCCAGTGAAGGTGGAGAAAGAGCATTCCAGGCTCTTGGGTGAGAGGGAGCTGGGAGGACTGAGCTATACTGGGGAGTGGTGGGCAAGGCAGAGAGAATGGGGACCACGATCAGTGAGGCATGCAAAGGGCATGCTTTGTGTCCAGGTAAAGGAGTCAGGGGTTTATGTGCAATGGGGGAATTACTGAGTAAAAGCAGAGGAGGGGCACGGCCTGATTTACACATTTGAAGGCCAGTGGAGAGTGCAGTGACTTGGGCAGGGTGAATGCCAGGAGATGAGCAGGAGGATGTCTGAGGTGGTCAGGCAGGAGATTATGGAGGCTCGGTCTGGGCAATGCCTGTGGATATGGGGAGGAAGGGATGGATATGGTATTAGCTTTGGAGACTTCAGACGCATTAGACATAGAATTAAGGGGAGGGAGTCACCAGGACTTCAGATGCATTAGACATAGAATTAAGGGGAGGGAGGAATCAAATGTGACTCTTAGATGTTGCTTTAGAACTGGGCAGGTGTGAACACTTGGGGAGGAGAACTGGGGCACAGTGGGGTGTCAAGGTTGTATTTTGGTAACAGTAAGTTGGAGACATTTAACAGACATCCATGTGGTGATGTCAAGTCTAGGGAAGGGAAGGGTCACGGATAGAGATTTGGGAGTTGCTGGCATGCAGATGGGATTCAAAACCATGGACAGATAAGGTCACTTAGAATGTGCTGACAGAGGGGAAAGTTTGGAATCAAGTTCCGGGTTTCCAATACTTAGAGGTCAGAGAACTGAAGAAGCAACCACACAAGGAGACCAAGAGCGTGACCTCCAGCTGGCCGGCACAGGAGAAGGAGATTGAGAGAGGATGGTGACCCAGAAGCCAGCAGGCTGTGGTGTTATAGCAAAGGAAGGAAACATTTCAAGGAGAGGGTTAGGCAGTCATACCAACTTGGGCTGGAGACAGAGAAAGATGAGGACAGAGAAGTGTTTGTCAGCATGGGGGACACCTGCAACCTTGACAAGAGCCCTGTCACCTGTTGGGGACAGGAGCTCCTGCAGCTGGCTGGGGAAAAGGTGTGCACTTAGAGACAATGGATGGGGAATCAGCTGAGGGGAGAGCCTGCAGATATTTCAACTCACTGTTCCTTTTGAAACTTGTTACTATATAAGCCACTACTAAATAGAATATTAGTCATTACATGTGCTCTGTTTTCACCCTTTGGAAGGACTGTACAGATATTCACTGAGTTTCCTCTTTTAAACATTGAGGTGAAATACACATAATTTATATGTACAAGAGAAGAACTTAACTAATGAAAATATGATGCTTGCCCTCCATTCTACCCTGTCACCCTGTTTTTAAAAAGTATTTGTTTATAGAAATTGTGCTGAAATAGACATAACATAAAATTCACCATTTTAGCCATTTTGAAGTGTACAGTTGAGTATTAGGTATATTTTCATTGTAGGGCAACCACCCCCACCATCCTGCTCCTGAATTTCTTTCAACTTGCAAAACTGGAATTCTGTTCCCATTAAACACTGACTCCGTAGTCCCCTTCCGCTAGCCCTTCGCACCATCTACCTTCTGCCTCTATGAATCTGACTGCTCTAGGAACCTCACATAAGGGGAATCATTCACTACTTGTCTTTCTGGGACCCGTTTATTTTACTCAGCATATGTCCTCAAGACATCCATGCTGTAGCATGTATCCAAATGTCCTTCTTGTTAAAGGCTGAACAGTATTGCATTATTCCATTCTGGTATGCACCTGTCACATTTGGCTTACCCATTCATCTCTTGAGGGACCTGTGGTGTGCTATCTTTTGGCTACTGTGAAGGCTGCTGCTATGTACACGAGTGTCATTCCACTTCCTTTTTTGCACCTAGCATGATTCTTTTTGCAAATTTGATCTAGAATGCAAAGAAATTGCATTGATGTTATAACGTTGTTTTGGACTACACTGAGATCTGATTGAATATATTCTATGACTACAGTAGTTGGCTGAAGTCATGTAATAGCAGCTAATATTATGTCAGAACTTTGATTGTCTGCGTTTGTGGCTAATGAGGGGAGCAGAAAATGGACTATTAATAAAAAGTGTTCCTTAATATCTATAGACATATTAATGTCCAAATAGATACATCTACTAGGTGGAAAATACTACCTACTTTGGCCATCAATAAAATATCCCTAATGACTTAGTATTGTGAGAAGCTAAAGAATTTGGACTTTGAATGACTGCTGACTCAAAGCTGGAGTTTTCTTTCTTATTCTGTATGTTCGAGATGCCTGCAGACATGAACAGGTAAAGACACAAGATAGTCTGGCATATAGTAAAACATCATACTTGAGGTGTATTCTCCTAACATTTATTTCTATCCTTACTGGAGAATCAGGCATTTGTTTGGGAAGAAACAGAAAAGGCAATTACATACCGAGTATCCACTTAGTCAAGAGAAAAGACTTGCACATTTTCAGGAAAGTAAACTCTATGGGTAGGTGGAATGACAGGTGAAGAGGCGATGTTGAATAATAACATTAAAAATGGCAGCTATCATTTGTGCACACACCTAAGTATCACCATGTGTATTTCTTCATGTAATCCTGCCAACAGCCCTAGCCTACGGGCATTACTGTTAGTACCATTTTACAGATGAGGAAACGGAGGCCTGGAGTAAGTGAACATACTGCCCAAGATCAGGTAGCTAGTGTGGTAGAAGTGAAAACCAAAATTCTGCGCTTTTAAACCATGTCCCATATTAAGCCTTCCAGGGTGACTTTTTTTTTTTAAGTAAGAGAACTTCAAGAGAATCCTGTTTCCCACAAAGAGTTCTGCTTGAATATGCACTGTGCAGATGCTCCCACCGCAGCCCTGGCCTACTGATACGCTCACTGAAGGTCTTTTCCATGCACTAAGGAGTGGTCAGTACATGAGCTCTGGAATGGTAGAGCTGATGGGCTCACGGACTCTCCTTTCTGGACCAAGATGGGAGAGCAAATCAGGCAGTATCTGACCCCCATCCAGAACGGCTCACAAATGCAAATGAGGGACAAGAGGAAGAGGGTGAAGAACCTCTAAATTCTGGCCACGCATCCAGCCCTGACTGAGTGGAGATGACCCACCTGCAGCGCATGAATGCGCCGAGCCCATAGAGCATCTGCCCGGAACGGCACTCGGCTCCCACACAGGATGTGGGGTGTCTCTGACAATGATATGCGCCAGGACCTTCTGAGTATGCAAGGGGTCTCCCACTTCCCTCCCATCCTCTGGAAGCTTGGTTCTTTCCTCTCACCTATGGTCCTGTCTCCATCCGGGTCCACCTCCTGAGCCATGCTCAGTGCCTCTGTGGTGGCGATGTCCACGTTGCAGGGGACCACCACCAAGTTGATCGTCTGTTGCCTCTGAATGTACTTCTTGATGAGGGCCTTGATCTGATGCCAAAGAATCACACACAGGAAGAGCACATCTCTGGTCATCTGACAGTACAGCCAGGTAGGTGTGACTGAAAAACCTATGCCGTCCCAGAGCATGACCTGGTTTTCTCACTTCTGGGCTTTGACTTGGCCAATCCCCTCCCACTGAATGCCTGCCCCACCTGCCTTTATTTAGTTCTCTGTTGATTTCCTACTTACCCTTCAAAGGCCATCACTGCACTTCCCTCTTTCCCCAGGACTCTCTGAATCCTCTAGGCAGATGAGACCTCTCCTTCCTCTCCAGACCCCTCCCACGATGCTTCTGAGGCTGTGGTTATGCCTTCCATGGGGTGACGTGTACGTGTGTGCGCACATGTGCCTGCCCCAGAAGCCCAGGGTACCTTGGTGATGACTCACAACTCCCTACCTGCCTCAGTATGCCCTGCACAGCCCAGCACAGCATCCCTGTGGAGGGTGCTCAGGGCCTGTTAAAGGTATCTGACACTGATAATTATCACTCCAAAGGCTTATTTGTAATTTTAATGACTTTCCCTGGAGTTTGTTCTTGGATGGGGTCTAGCTCACTCTATTAGAGAAAGTCAATAAAACTTTTTAGAATTGTAGGCAAAAGAGAGATGTGGTCAACCTAAGCCTTAAAATACCGAATTTTAATAAAATTTTCCCATGTGGACAATGCAAACAAACATGGAAGAGGCTGCCACCTTGGGACCTGTGTCCTTATATTTTGGATGTAGTCCTTATATAATTTGCATGTAGTTTTCCTCTTATTGTGTCCCATTAAATTATTTTAATTGGGTACAGAAGACAATACTACATAGCCACAAAATAGAAAGTTTGCATCACATAGACACAAACTAGCATCATAAACAACTAACTGCTGTGGTCAAATATAAACAGACTCAGCCAGGTCTTGGCCATGGGAAAATTTAACTGGGTAAAGTTATAATAAGCCTTTATAAATGAGCTTTAGTGCTACCTTTAGTCCTTAAGTTCAGAGTTATCATCTTGGTGCGTATGCCCTGTCACACCCACGTGACTGTCTGGCTGGGGTCTGCAGGTGAACAGACCAGACAAGCCCGGGCTCTCCTCCTCGGCACTACTGACATCTGGGCTGGATAACTCTGTGCTTGAGGGCTGTCCTGTGCATCATAGCATATTTAGCTGCATCTCTGGTCTACCTACTGAATGTTGGTGGCAATCCCACATTCCCAAGTTGTGACACTGAAAACATCTCAGGCACTGCCAGTGTTTCCTGGGGGTAAAATAGACTTGATCTGGAAATAGCCGTATCCATTTTGACGGGATCTTGGGTTGTGACACCTGCTCCCTAGAAGGCCTGCCTGGAAAGAGAGAGACCTCATAAAGAGCACTACTTGTGTAATAAACAGCTCTTGAGCACCTAGAATAGGGGTACCAGGCTCATTCTAGGACCTAGAGATCCAGCACCGATCATGCCAGGGACGTCCCCTCAGGGTTTACATCCCAGCAGGGAATACAAGCAACAAACATTCAGTAAGGACAGAAAATGGAATCAGAGGCCAGGCATGGGAGGCATCCCTGAGGTGGCATTTGGGCACAGTACCCAAATTATTTCCTGAAGGAAAGAGAATATGCCATGTGGAAATCTTGGCAGGGAAAGCATTTCAGGAAGAGGGAAGAGTAGGTGCAAAGATGGAGGGGCAAGGGTGGGCGGGGGCTTTCAAGGGCCACCAAATATTCAGCTGTGGCTGGGGTGCAGTGAGGTGCGGAGGCACAGTGATAGGAGTGGGGCCCACTAGTGGGGCCACATTTCTTCAGATGTCAGAAGCTCTTATGCCGACTGGTCTGGAGCCACTTGAGAAGTTTGAGGGTCTGAGCTGGGCTCTAAAACATGAGAGTTGTGTTGGGGATGCACCTGTTGGTGGGGTGAGGGGTGCTGCACTGGGATGGGGGGGCACTGCACTGGGAGGGGGTGCTGCACTGAGGACAGGAGGAGAACCAAGCTGCAGGCCAGTGCAGAGACAGTGACTGGTGGGGATGGCAGTGGTCTGGGCCTGGGTGCTGGTGGTGGGTGGGGTGAAATGTGGTTAGACTCCGGATGTGTTTGAAAGTAGAGCCAGTCAGGTTTGTAGCTGGACTGGATGTGCCATATGAGAGCTAGAGAGGATGCAGAGCCTGCCCTGGTCTGGGCCACTGAGGGCTGGAGGTGCCCTTTCCCAGACAGGGAAGACTGGGAGGGCGGCTGGGGGTGGGGACTCAGGCACTGGTTTCGGCGCTATGCCTACGACATCCACAAGGAGATGGCTCGTCAAGCAGCTGGGCATGGAGCCTGGATTTCAAAGGAGAGGCGCGGGTGAAATAGAGCTTTGGGAGTGGTGTTTAAAATCTTGAGACCACATGAGATACCAAGGGAGAGTTTTCAGTAGAAGTAAGAGATCTCTGAGGTCAGGAAAGTAAGACAGAATTACCCAGGTGATCAAGGGAGGGGTTGAACTAAAGCGAATTTGTCTTGAAGTCAGTGAAGATGTTTTTCAAGCAGGAGTGAGTGATATATCACATTTGAAAATAAAAGGATTTGGCGTGAGAACGCATCAGATATGCATGCTGCCAGGAAAGTGGAGCAACACAGTAAGACCATGAACAGAAAACCTTTCACAGGAACTCTGGGGTGACAAATTCTGATTGACTTATCATGTAGCCCAAATGTGTTCTTAATTGTTGCTAATACTTTATGTAAAAATCCAAATTTCTGACTTCTTTTCAATGTTAAGGCAGCTGGTGACATGGGGCCCACATTCCCACGTGACACCCTTAGGCAGGGTGGGAGTTGTTCCGCGTACCTCCAGTTCCACCAAGTCAACTTCCCTTGTTCCCAGGACTTGGCAGGCCCTCAGCAGAACCCAAGCATGAGGTCCTGGTCAGTCCTACCCCAGTCTTTGCTCCAGCCACCCCAAGCAAGGGCCGTGAGTCATGCCAGAGCCAGCTTCAGCTTTCACATTCCCAAGTTCCAGGAAGGCCCACCTGCAATCCAATGTCCTGGGGCTGATTTCCCACAGCCACTCTGGCGATGCCAGGAAGGTCAATGAGGGTCAGATCGGGAACATCGGGGGAGGTGATCTCCAGATTAATGAGCTCATGGCTAATGCCAACTCCATCCCCAGCTATGGCATTCTGGGCTGTGGAGGCCAAGAAAAGAGAAACCCAGAGTCCAGATTAACAACCCAGCTGAGAAAAAACAGTTGTCCTTGAAGGTGACAGCTTATTTTCGGAATATAGGAGCCTGAGCATCAGAGAGCTCCTGTGCTTAGAAAACATTTCACAGAAGTCTGCAGAGTGATCTCCTGGGCCACCGTTTAGGCGGCTGTTTGATATTCAGACAGCACGTGCTTATACCCTCAGAAAAATCAGAGGACACCACCACTAAGTTCACAACAGAATCGTGGATGGGTTCTGCTGTCATTCTTTATGCCTTGTAGTATTTCCAGTGAGTGTTGTGGTAGTTTTAAAATATGCCCACAATTCTTCAGCACTCCTTCCTCCAAAGCAGGAGACTGAGGGGGGCTGAAATAGGGGCTCATGTCTAAAAAGAAGGTATGGTAGCAGTAATGGTGTGTGATAGCCATCAAAGGTACTGTGGCTTCCTCTTGCTTTCTGGGATGGCTCCCTCTGGGGCAAGGAAGCTCCATCAAGAGGTCCACCAAGTGTTGGCCTACTGGCTATATAAGAAGCAGTTCACCAGCCCAGGCCAACATCTCAACAGCAGCCTCGGCAGCGACCCTGAGCCAGGCCCACCTGGCCGAGGCACTCCAGTTGTTGACTTTCACACACTGTGAGGAATTAAGTGCTTGCATTTTAAGCCACTAAGTTTTGGGGTAATTTGTTATGTAGCAATAGATGACTAATACAGGGATGGATTACTTTTATGACTGGAAGCTCTCTCCCCTCCTCTGCACACACACAGATACTCTAACACATATACACAAACACACACTCACATAAAAATGCACACACTAACATATTTGCACTAACACACATACTAAATCCCACTGTGGAATGTGTCATGAGCAGTGCAGATACCTCTCCACTCCATGACACCCACAGAAAAGCCCCTCTGCCTGCCTCTGTCTGTCGGGAAAGGGCCGATCTGAAGGCCTGTGGTTCGTCTGGAGCTAAGTGGACCCCAACTAGGGGGAAACCTCTCATGGCAACTGCCAGCCATGCCAGGGCTGCTTGGAGGGGCCAGAGGAACTCAAGGCAGCAGGATCCCCTGGCTGAACAAAATCACATCAATACTGGGTATTGTCACTGTTTCACACTATTTGTTATTTATTTTTGGCCCTGGAACATTTACAGCAATCCCACCACCCTGCCTCTTGGGGGATAAGCGGTATCGAAGGAAGGAAGGGAGACTAGGAAGCAGAAGGGAAGGGGAATTACTTTTCCCTTATGTTCACTCTGAAAGTGGATTATTTCCCTATTTATAGTCTTCATAGGAGATTTAATAGCTTCTTAAGAACTGTATCTAATTTATTACATGCCTAATGTATACCCCTAACCACACAGAAGTAATATGTAGTGATTCCATCCTGTGTCTCAAATTCCTCATTCCTATGGGACCAGTAAGAACCTTTAACATGTGTGTAGGAAGGTCTGGTTGAGTCTGGGCTCTTCTACAGGCCAAATATTGTCCTGAAAGTTTTAAAAGTAATTTATGTAGAAAGTATGATAGAAATTATCCATAATAATCTCCAAAGACAAAAAAGTCATTCTTTTTTGGGGCTGGACTTGAACTCTGCTGGCCCAGCAGGTTGGTTTGCCTCCTCCCAGAGTGTGGTCACCTGGCAGGGGCCCCTGGGGTACAAACCCGAAGGCTGGCCCAGCTGCCAAGAAAAACCCAAATGTCAATGAAATGGCTTCTCCGAGACAGCAGTTCCCATCACACCTACAACCCAAGTCTGGGTGGTGGGAAAGGGCAGATGCGACTGTGATGAAGGGATGTGGAGATGGAGCTCAGGGGTCTCCAGGTGTTCTGTGCAGAGCCAGTCTCTGCTGGACGGAGAGGATGAGAGAGAGTCCAGAGAGTCTCCCCATCCCCACACCCACCTGCATTTCTGGGCTCCACCGCTCTGCGGCTCACTCATGTGTCACTTAAGTGATGTCTGTGCCCGCAGGTGGGTGGTGGGACCCACACAGTCAAGGGCGTCTTGTCCCATCCTAGAAGCTAGTCTGTCAGTGGGCGGGAAAAACCCCCAGGTCTTCCCAGAGGCCGTTCACTTTCCAAGCCATAAAATGGACCAATTAAGATACCTCATGCACATGCATGCAGAACTAGGACCCGCCTCACGGGCGCAGGTCCTGGGCAGTCATAGCACCGTGTTCAGGAGACCCGCTCTTGGTTTAAAGACCTGTTTTCATGAACTTGAAATTCTAGTGATTTTGAATGAGGGCCCTGCATTTTTATTTTGCTCCAAGCCCCTTAAATCATGTAGCTGGTCCTGCTCCAAGCAGGATTTCTCAAACTTGAAGTGCACTTGACCCACTGGGGGTCTAGTTAAAATCCAGATTCTGACTCATCACGTCTGGGGTGTGGCTGAGATTCTGCATTTCCCACAGGCCCCCAGATGTCCCTGTGCAGACCAGGAGGCACACTGAGCAGCCAGGAGCTACAGGATCTGTGGAGACCTTGAAAGGAGTTGAGGCCTCGGATGGTCTATGTGAGGGGGAGGTACCGATGGCAAAACCCAGATGCGTGGGATACACAAGGACACAGAGGTCACTGGTCACCAGCTTAAGGGGACACCCAGAGACATAGCATGATGCTCCCTAGGACTTCCCCAGTGGCCTTGCCTTGTGCCCAAGGGTCTCCTGTGTCCTCAACATCTCTCTCCTGCCTCCCTCAGAATTTGCTTTCAGATCCTCTGCAGGACAGAAAGTGAGCCCAGGGGTATGCGGGCTAGAAGTCCTCTCTCCGGCAGCCTTGCCTGGTGGCTGCTGAGCTCACACTCACAATGCAGTGAACTCACTGGATGGTGTGACTTAAGATGGGACTGGTCTGGCCTGACAACAGCTTGGGCCAAGGGAGACGATCCGTTCTGATGGCCTCCCAAGCTTTAGGGAAAGGCCCTGGCAGGTGGTGTCATGACCTCCAGGGGGCGCGGGCTCTACAAGTTACAGAAGTGCCTGTGCTGGGGCACCGGCTGGGTTCCCCGCCAGGGGACTGCTGCACCAGGTCAGATAAGGACAAATGTTCCATTTGTTTGATTCCCTACATTGGTACTTGTAGCTGTGTGTCATTCCCCCCTGTGCACATACAACAATGCCGTGATCCAGTCTGCTTTTGATGGACATCTAGGTAGTTTGCACACAGGGCTGTCACAACAGTGCTGCTAGAACCTGGTTCTGGTGTACACTTTGGCTGGGTGTATACTCAGGAGTGTAGTTAACAGAGCATCATAGAGTGTGCACACCTCCAGCTTTAGCAGATTATCACCAGTTTTCCAGAGGCTGCACCATCTTACACTCCCATCAGCAATGGAGGAGAGCTCTGAGTTGCTGTTCTAAAGATTCCTTGGCTGTGGCCTGCTCATTATTCATCCTTTCCCAAGCACCCACCCATGGTGTGCCAGAGCTCTGCTAGAGGCTGCGAGGTCGTGGTGAGCACACAGCCCTTCTGGTCCTGCTCATAGAGCTCATGGTAGAGAGTCCGGATGGACCTCAATAAACACTACAGGTTGTGCGGGAACCTGGCAGCCCCAGGTCAGCCATACGGGCACAGCCAGGGTAAAGAGCTTTCATGATTTGAAGCTAGAAACTTGCCAATTGAGGATTTTAAGCAGTTTTTGTGTTTGGGGATGAACCCTAGAATCAGAGGCAGGACCTCTCTCTTTTGGAAGGGATCCCTCTGGTGAGCCATCTGAGGCCTGCAGGTTTTTGCGGAACTGAGCTGGGAAGTCACGTAAAGCCTCACCCTCAGATGCTGAGTTTATTCTAAGTAATGTGAAAATCCTGTCTCCCTGGAACTCAGAGATGTCCGAGTTGCAGGTGGCTGCAGAGATTCCTATTGCACTCAGGGTTGTCTTTTGCCTGCCTGGCAGAAAGCAGTATGAGATGGTGAGCAGGCTCAGCAACACAGGGCAGGCCAGCCTGCAGAGGGCATGGCTGCCAGGGACCCCTCTGAGAGGTAGAGAAGTCAATGCCAAGAGTACGCATACCTTGTTAGCATTCTGGGATTACCCAACACTATTCGTAGCCATTGGTAAACTTTGTTCAAAGGCAGGTGCTGGTTGTGCCCCCAAGAATGGAGGTGGGTGGGCTCTGTGTCAGGGGCAGCTGCATGGAGACATGGCCATGCGGCGGCCAGCCCCTGCCGGGTCACAGCAGGGCCTGAGGACAGCGGTGGCCAGGACAGCCAGAGCTGGGGGCCTGCAGGGGACACTTCTCAGAGTAGGGGCAGGTAAGCTGGGACCCAAAGGAAGAGAAGGAATTAGGCAGGTGAGGAGGAGGGGACAGCATGAGAGGCTCCAGCACGGCACGTGGAGAAGCCTGGAAGGAAGACCACATGCTTCCTCGTGGGGCTGAAAAGCCCTGATGCCCCTGAGGAGAGGAAGGAGCTGGACCTCAAGGCAGCGGCCAGAGGGGCATCTGCAGACGCTGCCGAGCGGGCCTTACCTTTCTGAATTTCCTTCTCCACCTGCGAGGGGTTGTGGAGCTGGAGCTCCGTGGTCTGGTAGCTGAGCCTCCCCGTCCACGCTGGCTCATGAAGCTGCTTTTTCAGCTTCAACACCAGGGGACACCTGGTGACGATTCCTGAGAGACAGTTTCCCAAACATCTTGTTTCCTTTACAAGGAAGTGCGGCAGGTACCCTCTGCCTCACCCCGGAGGAGCCGCCAGAGTGTCCCCAGAGGCTGTCTGAGGTTTTGGCCCTCTAGGGCCCTGACTGGCGGGTGCACAGGGGCACAGGCTTGGGCACTCGCATGCGTAGCTGCACCTGTGCACTGCTCTCTGGTGGTCGTGGGGCACTCCAGGCTGACCACGGCCACAGTCCCCAGCACACTGCTCTGTGAGTGACCCCACGGAAGGCAGGACTTCTGCCTGGAGTCCCCACCGTGGGTGTGGGCCAGCAGACCTGCCCTGTGCAGGTGGAAGCCCAAGCTGGGACACCTGGGAATGTGAAGCAGTGAGACCTGCCTGAGGGCTGCCCAAGCCTCCCAAGGGCCCCACGCTGAGTTGGGGACGCCGGAGGCTGGACATCCCAAAGCTGGGGGTGCAGAGGGTTCTGCTGGTGTGGTTTCTGCAGCCAGAGCTCAGACAGGTTGGAACTTCTTGGGGCTGGGGGCCCCTGGTGGAGGCCTGGGGAGCCTCACACAGCAGGGCTGTGCACAGGTGCTGTGTATCCTCCTGTCGCTTGCTCTACAAGGGAGGTATTACCTCCTCATCCAGCCTGGAGACTTGCCCAGCACCACACGCCTGAACTGGGACCCAGACTCTGTCCTGCTGTGCCTCTCCTCAAAATGCTGAACCCAGGGCAGGGAGGAGTGACAGGACTTGGCATCCAGGGCTGGCAGAAGTACCCTCCCAGGGGCCTTCCCAGTGCCTGTCTCTGAAACCACTGTGCCCAGGGGTGCTCTGGGGCTCCCAGGTGGCTGGCTGCTGGCTGAGGAGGGAAGCTGGCCCTGCTGTGCTTACCGCTGCCTCTGGGCAGGGCGACTCCCGAAAGAGCCTCCAGCACAGAGCTCTTGCCGGAGCTCTGGTCCCCGATGACGGCGATGGCAGGCAGGGCCAGGTCCTGCTCCACGCCCAGGGCCCGCAGGGAGTCGATGAGGTCGATGCAGGGGCGCACCTTCTCCTCGTACTGGCTGTACAGGTTGTTCTCGGGCCCCTGGAAGGGGCAGGGTAGGCTCTCAGCCCTCCGGCAGGGCTCCCACCATCCTGGGGCATTTGTGGCAGAATCTGTTCATCTACTGATGGTGGGTGGCAGAGAGGAGGGGGGCAAGGAGGCTCTGGGTGTGCCTCGGGGAGGTCTCTGCACCCTGCTCCTGTGGCAGCTTTGCTTCTGCTGATGTGGGGCAATGGGGGTGGGGCCAGGCCTGACTGAGCAGGGCAATGGCACCAAGAGGTGGGAGCTCCTGGCCAGCCAGAGATGGGAACGGAGGTGGGCCCTGGGTAGGGAGGGGGTGGTGGCAATGACAATAGTAGCTGGAGGAAAAGCTCCCAGGAAGGAGGCGCCAGCACAGAGAGCGGAAGCGCCCAGACTCACGTCAAGGAAGGTCATCATTGCCCTGGAGATTGGGTATGTCCCCAGTGCCTGTTGAAGGGCCCAAGAGAGCTGGGGGACACCAGTCGTGCGGCCACATTCAGTCCGGACTTGCAGGTTTACTGCCATGCTTGCGGAGGTGCTCACCCATGGCACCCACAGCCCTTTTCTGCTGGAGGCTGGAACATGCCCATCCTGAGCTCCCCTCCACCCGCCTTACCTTTGCCCTCTGTTGGCCCCAGTTTCCTTCTGGCTGCTGTTGGTTCAATGTCAGCAACTTCAAGTTCTTGGAGAGGAAAACTGCGTCCTTCCCTCCGGCCTGCCAGTTTGGAGGGAATATCATTTGCCCTGTGGCTTTGCCAGATGGTGGTGGCTGCTGCTGGAAAAAATTCATTTCTTTTTTTGGATGGTGTAGGGAAGAAGATGGATTGTGCCTCTGGTACGACCAAGAACTGTGGGATTTAGGCATGAGCTGTCAGCCTATCAGGGCAGGAAGGTGTGTTCCCAGCTGCTCGGTGCCTCCAATCTTCTTAACAAGCTCTGCAAAGACATAAGATGGGACAGTGGCCCAAACATCACCATCACCATGCACTCCTCCCCTAAGCTGCTCCTTGGCCATCCCTGCCTCACCCAGCCCCACACAACCCACTACCCTGTGTGGACACAGAGCCCAGCAACCCAGCACGCCCTGTGCAGGGTCACCCGTGCAGACCCTGCTGCTGCTCCCTGGAGTGCCTTCCCACAAATCTGCATGCAAGCTCCTGTCTTGGGCTCTACTGTTTTGGGGGGTGGGGGATGGTGGGAATGGGGAGTGACTAAGCTAAGGTAAAGGGAATCTGAAATAAGCAAGTGGCAGCACTATGTCTTTAAGATAAACTCCAGGATCCAGTTTAATCAGTTAGAAGCCAGGGTTAGTTTCACACGGAGGGGCTACCTGGGGCTCTGAGGCCAGACCAGCTGTGTGTGTGACCTGGGCCACTCTCCGAGGCTCTCCACCGTGTCCTGCCGGGGTTGTGCCCTGGCCTTTCCTGGCCTTGCTGGGGCCAAATCTGACTTGGGTTTCAGTTGGAAGGAGATAGAGAAGGCCTTCCTGGGCTCTTCCAAGTGGTGAAGCCCACTGACTTGCAGACCTGTGAGGAGGGTCCCCCAGTTGTGGCCCAGCTCCCTTGGGAGCCCTGAGAAGGGCTGTCAGGTGAGAGCAGCTCCCTTACTTCTGCCCGTACACCTGCAAAGTCACCCTCTCTCTATTTACTTGATTGTCACCTGTTACCCTATGCAAGCAGGTACTCTGTGTCTCCTGACGGCACTGGGCAGTGGCAGGCACCCCCCAGATCCTGGTTTCATGAGCAAATGGAGGAAGGCATGGCTTCCTTTCCTGCAGCATCTGGGAAGCCATCACTACCACGATGCTCCCCACCTGGCCTGTCTTCTCATGTCAGTCACAGCAGCTCTGACCTTCTGACAGCCCTGGACAAACGCCCCCCAGCCTCCCTTGCCTTTCAGCCCCACAGCCCGCCCTCAGCAAACTGGACTCTACCTCCAAAACATTCAGAATACAACCATCTGTCACCACCCCACTGCTGCCACCTTAGCCCAAACCACTGTGGTCTCATCTGAATGCTGCCCTGGCCACCCGGCCTGGTGAATCTTGCCAGAAGCAACTGCTGAGGCCCTGATCCTGGAAAGCGCAGGGCCCCCTTCCTTAGCCGCTCTGGCCATCCTTCACTCTGCCAGGCCTTCCCTCCACGTGTTCCCGGGAGTGAAACCCAGCAGTCGCAGTTGTGCCCATGGACAAAGACAGAGGCAGCTAAATCGGTCAGTTACCCACCTAGCCGCTTGTTTTCCCATGGACTGGATGGTTCCACAGGCTATTCCATCCTCGGTACTTCGAGGCCACACTTTGTCTATCATCTACCACCAGCCTACCCTTTTCTCTGTTCACTTTATATTCCACTTTGTTCAAACCCTAAGCCAGTAACTACAGTTGGTTGTACGGGTGAAAGGCAATGACAGACTATTGGGCAGAAACTCAAGCGTTCACTCTGCGAGTCAGCCAGCCCGCTAGGCAATCCTGATGCCTGGCGTGCCGTGTGGTGATTCTTCCCCTGACCACGATGTGGGCCCTTCCCATCCAGGGAACACGGTGCAGCACCACCCATCAGAAGTGCCCCTGTGGCTTGTACTGGGAAACTCTCAGAAAGGCCCTCCCTCTGACTGAGGACCAGAACAAAATCTGGGTTATTTGTGGCTGTTTCGCATCTTCTGGTTTTTCTTCATCTCTCTGGAGTCTCTGAGTTTCAGCCTTTGATACATTCGGCATCTGATATTCTTTCTCCCATGCAATTGTTTCTCTTATAAAACAGCCATTCTTGTCACGCCTGTCCTTCACCAAGTGTCAAGAGAAATTATGATCCCATGTAAAAGGTCTCTGCTTTGCTTTTATTTTTAAAGTATAATTGCCCTCAAGAACATGTCCCCCCTCCTTAGTATAAGGAAATTGTATTAAGATTATGTTAACCTCTTGAATGTAAGCACACAACAGATTACTTTGCAGAGGGCCAGGCTGAAGGAGCCTGTGCCCCCTTCTGTTAATGAGGGAGGAAGCCATCTGTCCTGGGCACCCTTGGCCTTGGCACAAGGCTCAGACCCAAGTCATTGGTGGTCCTGGCTCCCCAGCCCAGTGGGCACTGCTGTGTCCCTTGGCTCCTGTCCACAGAGATTCAGCAGGCTTTATGGTTTACTGTGGTACTTTATAAAACAACTGAGAGCAGGACATGCAAGAAATGGTCTTTGGGAATCCGAACATTCTTGGCCTTTTCTGGTGGGATGGGAGGTCCAGCGTCAGGAGGCAGGGGTTGGGGGTCATAGCTGAAGAAACTGCTGTTCACAGAGGCCCAGGAAGTGCAGGTGAGAAACATCAGCATCAGGCACCTGGTGTGGCAGGACAGGGCAGCAGGATCTTATCGATTCAAGGACACAGAATTGTCTTTGATAAAATGGAGAAAGATAAGAGGCAGAGAGCTTAACCATGCAGCATGCCTGGGAGAGTCCATATGGGCAGGAGAGACAGCTGCTCAGGTACGAACATCACTGTGCCACCCCCAGCGGGGTCTCCTTCCTTCCTTCCCTCTCATCAGGAGGGGTCCAAAGCAGCAGAGAGGGGCACTGCCCACCCCCACTCCTAACCCAGATCATGCAGGGCGACGGGCTGGAACACATACACAGGGCCAGAGTCGGCCACCCAGGGGAAGAAGCAGTCCCAGGTGGCAGGAGGTGGAGAGGCAGAAAGGGCCATGGCACAGGACTGGAGCAGGGAGACCAGAGAGGAGCGCCCACTGACAGCCCGGCATGGTATCTGGACCAAGGAGAGTGTTGCTTTACATACTCGTGGGGCCCTGCCTGCATCCCTGATCACCTACAAGGAAACGTGTTTGGATGGATGGTGCGCTGGTCTCTGACCCAACGACAGAGCTGGGGGATGGCTGTACCTGAGGACAAGTCATGAAACCTGAAGCTCTCAGCTTGCCTGAGCCAGACAAGCATGGGAGTGTAGCCTGAGCTCCATCCCCCTGCCACCCCCAAACTTGGCTTTATCCTGTGTTTCTGTCTACCTTCCACCCAATTCTGAATAGCTGGGCAGGTGGGACCCAAGGGAGTGACCACATCCCAGCAGGGACAGCCTTGCTTCTGGGCCCATGGGGTAATGCCCACTCTGTGGAAGGCACCCCAAAATTGTATTGAGGTTACCTACGTCACAGAGAACCCACTTGAGTGATATGCAACCTAAGACAAGATGCTGGAAATCCTAGCCATGGCAATCAGACAAGATAAAGAGATAGAAGGCATCCAAATTGGTAAGGAATAGGTTAAACTGTCACTGTTTGCAGATGACATGATACTATATATGGAAAATCCTAAAACCCCACCAAAACACTATTAGAACTAATACATGGATTCAGTAAAGTTGCAGGATACAAAATTAATACACAGAAATCTGTTGCATTCCTATATACTAACAATGAACTAGCAGAAAGAGAAATCAGGAAAACAATTCCATTTATAATTGAATCAAAAAGAATAAATACCTAGGAGTAAACCTAACCAAGGTGGTGAAAGACCTGTACTCTGAAAACTACAAGACATTCATGAGAGAAATTAAAGATGACACAAATAAATTGGAATCTATCTCATGCTCATGAATAGAAAGAATTAATATTGTGATAATGGCCATCCTGCCCAAAGCAATTTACAAATTCAGTGCACTTACTTGTGGAATCTAAAAACAAAACAAAACAAAATGAACAAAACAGCACAGACTCAGAGAAACTGAGAAGTGACTGGTGGTTACTGTGGGGGAGGGATTAGGGTTGGGGGAAGCTAACAGGGCACAAAAATTCTCAATCATAATATAAGTTGGTATGGGGATGAAGTACAGCACAGTGAATATAGCTAATGGCTCTGTAACATCTTTCTACATTGACAGATAGTAAGTAGATAATTGGTGTGAGGATTTAATAATGTGAGTAAACTGTTGAAACACTGGGTTGTATACTTTAAACCAATATAATACTGTGTATCAACAATACTTCAATAAAAAAAAGACAAGATGTTAACCAAGACTGTAAGACTGTGATTCCCAAACTGTGCACCAGGACGCCCTAGGGGACTGGTGAGAACTCGCAGGGGCACTGTGGGGTATTTAAAATTTCCCAGGGATGCACAGCTGTTGGATACCACACAACCTACTGTTACTGAGTTGTTCGGACCTAACAGCAATAATTAATCAATAGAACCATTTGGTATTTCTTTTGGTCAGGGAGAACAGTACATGACTTATGAAGACACTGGGGGCATCTAAGGCAGAATGTGTGGGAATTTCCACTGAGAGCAGGTGATATGGAGGCAGATGAGTGTCTGTGAGCTGAGAGGGGAGAAGGGAGGTGGGCTGATGTATGGACAGATGTGCAGATGGACAGGCAAGGGCTGGGCGGGAAGAGGCCAGGAGGTGGGTCTTGGATTTCCCAGGAGCTCAGCTGGCTTGTCTCTTTTATGCCCCTCATATGCCTGTATTCTCATATGGCTAATTTATATTGTGCCTATTTTTACAGGGGATGGGAAGTGAAATTCAGAGAAGCAGCTGGGGTCTTGTCCCATGGCTCCGAAGTAACAGACTCAGGACTCCAGTGGAGCAACAGGTTACTTTGATGATGAGGAAACAGCAAAGCTGTTCAGATTTGGAAAATGCATTGCAGATCTCCACCATCTATGATGGGTAGATTTCAGAAATGCAGTCTTAAAGACCAGTCCCTCCCCCTGGGCCTCTTCCTTTTGACTGTTTTTTATTTTTGTTTCACACATTCCCCAGGCCTCATTAGGCCCCAGAAGAGTCTCGGTGGGCCCCAGGGGCGTGAATCTCAGTGCCCGGCATCCATCCCTGGGCCCCTGGGCCTGGCCTCCTGGACCCGAGCC